CCCTCACCCCATGGCCCCATGGCACTCCAGCCTCTCACCCTACATCTCCACAGCAGCCCAGCCCCTCACCCCGTGTCCCCACAACTCCCCAACCCTGCCACCCCTTAACCTATTTCCCTTTACAAAGAGTCTTTACTCAAATACAAGGAAACTGAAGCCCCTGTGTGCTTGTGGCTTTTCTTTTTTTGCTCTGAATGGACCCGGAATATCCATCAGCTCGTCCCTTTAGGGCATTTCTGTTCCATCTCCACACAACAAGGTTCTCCCAGCAGCACACAGGGACCCGCCTGTGTCACTCCCCGTTCCCAAGAGCAGGATTTTGTGCTCAGCACTCCCCGTGCAGCGTTTAAAACCTCGATTTGTCAGTGTTTGCACAAGAAGAGTAATTAGTGAGTGGCTCTGAACAATCGTTAATTAACGTAGGAACAATGATATCTCACGGGTTGCTGGATCGTCTCCTGCCCCCACCAGATGTGAGGTACAATTAGTCACCGGCTTGTAACAAATCTCGGTACAAAAAGTCACATTTTGTGTGGTTTGGAGACAGGTTGACATTCAGTTTGTGTCAAGGACCTGCACTTCCCCAGCAATCTGGGAAGGCTGTGGATGTCCTTGGCTGCAGTTGCCCTTACAAGTGCAGTTTTAACACTTTGTTAAAGGTTAAGGGTAACTCTGTATAAAGATTCTGTATTGGCTCCAATGTTATCAGTTAAATTGTGCTACAAAGTATCTGGGAGTGTCCCATACCATTCATTCCTCATTCTAGGAACTAAGATTTCCCTGTGACATGTGTCTGGGAAATGGAGTGTCCAGGTTGTTACATACTCCTTTGTAATCCTTGTATGTGCTTTTGCTGAACCTTTAAGATCTTTGATTTACATGGAAAAAATTACCATAAGAGACAGTGGAAAAGACAGAGATTTCCTGCTGGTCCCTCTGATATTGCTCTTTTACTCCTTATTAAAATTTCAGAATAATGAAGCCTTGTCAAGGCTTTTTAATTCTTCTAGTGGGGGAAAAAACCTGGATGTTTCTGCATGTGTGGATTTCATCCCACTATATTTGATTTGCAGCCCAGAAAGCCAACTGTATCCTGGGCTGCACCGAAAGGATTGTGGCCAGCAGGTTGAAGGAGGTGATTCTGCTCCTCTGCTCTGCTCAGGTGAGACCCCACCTCAAGTGCCATGGCCAGGTCTGGTGCCCCCAACAAAGGAAGGAAGTGGAACTGTTGAATCAAGTCCAGAGGAGGCCACGAAGTTGATAAGAGGCCTGGAGCACCTCCCCTATGGAGACAGGCTGGGAGAGCTGGGGGTGTCCAGCCTGGAGAAGAGAAGATGGTGTGGAGACCTCACAGCACCTTCCAGAGTCTGAAGGGGCTCCAGGGAAGCTGGAGAAGGGCTGTTCATCAGGAACTGGAGTGATGGGACAAGGGGGAATGGCTTCACACTGAGAGAGGGGAAATTTATGTTAGGTGTATGGAAGAAATTCTCCCCTGTGAGGGTGGGGAGGCCCTGGCACAGGTTGCCCAGAGAAGCTGTGGCTGCCCCATCCCTGGAAGTGTCCAAGGCCAGGTTGGACGGGGCTTGGAGCAACCTGGGCTAGTGGAAGGTGTCCCTGCCCATGGCAGGGGGTTGGAATGAGATAGTTCTGCTGATGGTTGTAGTCTCCTGATCTTCTGGTTTGTGCTTCTGGTGCACCTGGCAGAGCATGGGAAACTAAAAAAGCCCTACATTTAGGATAAAAATGTTTACCAACAACCAAAACATCAGTGTGGTAACAATATTTTTCTCTTACTGAGGCCAGAACTCAGCACTGTACCAGCTACTTGGGAAATCACTGAGAAAATTAAATCTATTCCAGCAGAAAACATCTCTAGGTGTAAATACAGAGCTTGTGGCCCGAGGCTTCAGCAAATCCAGCCTCTCATGCTCGTAAAGCCAAGCAAACAACATACTAAATCCCACAGTGTTATAGCTCTGTGTGACTCCTTCTGCTTTAAACCTATTTATGCCTCACAACTAATATCTCTTGACACACTGGGACCATTGGTGGGAGCTGGATATCTCACGTGGGAAAATCCAACCAACCAAATGCCAGACAGTGAAACTGAGAAGAGTGGCCACGTGTGTTAAAGGCAAGTTTCAGCCAAAATAATCTGGCTGAACTGAGAGATCCTCATCAGATGAGAGAAAACCCACAAACTCTCATGGCAGTGCTAGAAATGCCAATTACAGCTGGGTGATGCCTGGGAAGTTACCAAGTGTTGGCTCATGACAGATGGTCTCCCACGGTTTCATTATCCTGGGAAACAGAGTTTTGAATGCTGAAATGAGGAGAAGCAGTGTATATTTTAGTCACACACCCAGAGAATCCCACTTTTGCTTCAAAATATTACCTAGATTTGGTTAGGAAATGTCTCGTGTTCCACAGTGTTGTGGATCTTTGAGTGAAAACATTGGTTGGATCCCCTCAGGTTAGATCTTGGCAACACTCTGAAATAAATAAAGCTATTTGTGCAGCCCAGAGCTAGACCTGGGACAAGTGTCTTGCTATCTAGACCACAGCCTCCTTTATTTTATGCTTTCCTATCAATTATAGATGATGGTAGTTATTTTTCAGTTGGCACATGGAGTGGTGAGGTTCTGAAAGTGAAATACAAACAAGGTGATGATTGACTGTGAGCCTCAGAAGAAGATTGTCTTGGTGAGGAGCAGCTCTGCAACTTGAATTTTTTCCTTATCCTCCTCTTTGTTAGTAGCAGAAAGTAGGGCAACCTCCAGAGGAACATCACAAAATTGATTCACAGACGAACCCTTTTCCTGTGCTATTTATTCTTTGTGAGTGTCTCAACCTCGATCCTGAAGTTTGAGACCCTTGGCTTGGCTTTGCTGGGTTTCATTTCACTCTGAATTTGGGTTTTTCCTGAATCTCATGTGTCATCCCGCAGAGTTCTCTTATACTAAATCTGGTAAAAGTCATAAAAAGTTAAAAATGAGCATAAAAATGGACTAGTTCCTGAATTGGCTTTTTTTTTTTAGGGAGATATTAGCTGTAGTGAGACAGAAGATATTCCTAGGAATGGCAGAAGTGCTTATTTGAGAGGTTTTCCCACACCAACTGCTGTAAGGTCTATATTCAGATCTAACAGATTTATTAAATCATCTGGGCTGAAATTTTCTAAGATCACTATTTGCCACAGAAACAGGATTTTGGAAGAACTCCAAACCACTACCATTCCTCTTAAAAGACCCCAAAAACCAATGCCTAGATTTCAGTGTTCATTCCACATATTATTCCTCCTCCTTCCCTTCAGGAAGTTGTTTTTTTTGAAATCCTGATTCTACCACTGATGAGAGAGAGTTTTTACTGAAGAAGATAGAATAGATAATATAATTAGTTTATTGTAATGCACATGTGCAACTGGGGCAAAACAAGGTTGCTCAGGGTACACTGACTCTATTGCTCTTTGACTTCATAACCCCAGAAGTGCTTGACTTCATAACCCCAAAGTTCTCTTAACTTAGCCTTTTTAGTCTATAATTGGCATTCAGGGGTCTCAGAATGCAGATCCTGAGGCAGGAATGTCTCTGGAATAAGGAGCTCTGGCCTTTCATTGGAGAGAATTCTGCGTGGGGGAGCTTTGATGATGGACCCTCAGCACCAGCTTAGTGCACTTGTTCTTATTTCTCTTTATTTATTGATATAAGACTTCCTGTAACTTCTCTGTTTACACCCAGTGGAGGGAGTGAAACCTGAGGGATTTAAACACTTCCCTGAAGAACATTCTTGCATGAGGATGAATGTATTTTGTGGTGTACAATTAAAACCTGATCTTAGGATACATTTATTTACAGTGAGGGTGGGGAGGCCCTGGCACAGGTTGCCCAGAGAAGCTGTGGCTGCCCCATCCCTGGAAGTGTCCCAGGCCAAGCTGGACAGGGCTTGGAGCAACCTGGGCTAGTGGAAGGTGTCCCTGCCCATGACACATCCAGAAGGCCATCCAGGATGGCCTTTAGAGGTCCCTTCAACCCTATGAATCTGTGAACCCTATAATTCACTTAACAACCATGATAATCAGCAAGCAGCAGGGGAAGCAATGAAGGTGGAAATCCCAAATATTCCATTAGAGATGCCATGGGAAAGCTCTCCTCTAAAGCAGCAGAACTTGTTTGAGAACAAACACAAGACTAACAAGAACTTTCAGATAAATTCATCACTTGACCCCAAAGAAAAACCTACTCTGGACTTGTTTATCTAAACCCAGTGACCTTTGCTTGTACCAACACATGTACACACAAGCCATGCTCATGCCCATTCCAAATGTCATGTTTCTTGCATTACAAGTGCATGCTCACATCTCTGGGATAACTTGGAGCCACTGAATTCTTTGAAATATATGTCAATGTTTATGTCTTCCAGAAGACTGGAGCAGTTATTACTCATTTTTCTCACTTGCTTTGTAGGAATGTAAGAAATTCCATTCTGTGTACATATTAAGTGACAAGAATGTGTCAATTTGGGGGTTGAGAGAGGTTCTAGAGCCTCTTAGAGAAAAGCAGAGGCTCGAAGCCTGATGGCACTTCAATCCATGCTGGGAGGGGTTCTGTCACAAAGCACATCCATGGGACCTGCTGTTTGTGGAAGAGACATTTGAAGCACCCTGAGCTTCAGCTGCCATTGCTTCTGGTAGAGAAAACATGAAGGAAAACAGGACCTTTGGGTGTGCAAGAGGCTGACAAGATCTCTCTCCTTGGAGAGACTATTTCCAAGGGCCTGGAGTGACAGGACAAGGGGAAATGGCTTCAAGCTGACAGGGGTCAGGGTTAGATGGGACACTGGGAAGAAATTCTTCCCTGTGAGGGTGGGGAGGCCCTGGCACAGGTTGCCCAGAGAAGCTGTGGCTGCCCCATCCCTGGAAGTGTCCAAGGCCAGGTTGGACAGGGCTTGGAGCAACCTGGGCTAGTGGAAGGTGTCCCTGCCCATGGCAGGGGGTGGAGCGAGATGAGCCTTAATGTCCCTTCCACCTCAAACCCTTCTGTGATTCTGTGGTCTGTGACTATCCCCACTAAGTGCAGCTGGTGGGCATTAATCTGTTTGCTCTGCATTTTATTTGTGTTATGTGGTGGCATCCACTGAAGACAAAACGCTGGCCATTTTGGAAGAAGGGAGAGAAAATGAGACACACTTCATGGAAACAATAAACAGTCCCTCCAATCTCCTCCTTTACCCTGTTGCTTAAAACAGACATTTCTGGTCAAAGTCAGGCTTTTAAGCAGACACATGCTCACCTTATCAACCCTTCCCCTCTTCCTTTCTTCCTCTCTGGTCTCTTCCCTCACTCTTACCAAACACAGTTTCCAAATGCCTGAAATGGGAGATTCATCAGGGCAAACCTGTTGCTGCAGTCACTGAGAAAGTGGTACAGTTTTGTCTCTCACTCCTGTCAGATCCATTTTTGTGCTTTCCATTTTTCCCTCCCTAACTCCGTACTGTGATTCCCCTCCCACATCTCTGCATACAAATAATACCTTGTCACTGGGCTGTCAGCAAGTCCTGAATGCACGTAGCATCTAATGTCTTATGGCAGAAATTCTTCAATGACAGAAGAGGCATTTTGCAGATGTTTTTTCCGAGTCAAATCCGTGGTATTTATCAAAACAAAAGCGTTTCCATCCTTGTTTCCACACAATTTAGTACAAAGTGTTGCTAACTCTGGGAGAAATGTTGATTTTTATTTCCCCCATGCAGAGCTGTGTGATTCCACAAGACATCTGGGGAGTCTTTGTTGAAGATGTACCAGGTGTTAGTAGTTGTTATGAAAATTCTCACCTCTCCTGCCCCATGGCTGCTTTCAGTTTCAGCTGAATCCTGCTGCTCCAGGTAGGCATGACTGCTCCAAAATGTGGGTTTTGGGATGTGTACTCCCTGTCCTGAGAGGGAATTTCCCCCTCTCTGGAACCTCCAGTGGTGGAACTGTCCCAATCTCCCTCCCTGCAGAACCATTTTCATCCCTTTGTTGCAATTTACCTGCAAAGATCACAGAATCACAGACTGGTTTGGGTTGTAAAGGACCTTAAAGATCATCTTATCCCACCCCCCTGCCATGGGCAGGGACACCTTCCACTAGCCCAGGTTGCTCCAAGCCCTGTCCAACCTGGCCTTGGACACTTCCAGGGACGGGGCATTAAAAAGATGCATTTTAGTGAACAAACATCATCCTTTATCTCTGAACACCTTGTTCACCCATCACACCAGGGAATTATGAGCCCATGGCACAGCATGAAACTCTAAACCTGGAATCCACAGCCACCCCAAGACAAGCTTATCTTTAAAAAAAAGGGTTTAGATCTGCTTGGGTGAGGAAAAGATGTTTATTGAAAATAATTTTGGTCAACCTTAAAGGAACTTCGCCTTTAGATATACGAGAACGTGTTTATCTTGTAGGCTTGATCTGAAGTTTTCTTTGTTTCTGTTTTGAAGGGGAGTGGCAGAATGCTTCACTGCTGTGATGATGCAACTTGTTTTCCATCTACATGGAATTAACTTTAAGTGTGTTTCTGTGATGTCTATAAATACTGGAATAAACAACCAAATTAATTTTGTTCCCTGTCACAGCCCAAGCAGCTCTAAGTGCAGATGCAAAGTGGGATGGACGACTGCAAATGCCTTTTCAGAAAGAGCTGATTTGCACTGTAAAAAAAAATAAAAATAAAAAAATATATATTTAAAGATGTGTTGAAAGAGTTCATAGAGTGCTGAAGAACTTCACAAGAGATCAGAACAGGACAAAGAGCAAGTATCCCTGCAGGGGAGGGAACGGGCAGGCGGGACTTTTGCTGGTATTTTTATTTATAATCGTACTTCAAAGCAGTGGTTTCGTTCTGCAAGAAGTAAATAATGAATGGTGATATTTTTAACCTCCTACATAGACTCTGTGTTTCATCTACAAGAGGTTTGGCAGCATCCAGAGTATTCATGGCATCGTTAATGTGAACTGCTTGACTGCTTGAATAACAAGTGCAACTTAAAGCCATTTACTCCTGGGGATTCAAAGAACAGCCTGGACAAGAAAGAAGCACAGTTATCAAGTTAATGTTGAAATCAAACTCTGATGAACTCTGTGAAGACAGGCTGAGGGAGCTGGGGGTGTTCAGTCTGGAGAAGAGAATACTCCAGGGCCTGAAGGGGCCCCGAGAGAGCTGGAGAGGGACTGGAGTGACAGGACAAGAGGGAATGGCTTTAAGCTGAAGGAGGGTAGATTTAGATGAGATATTATGAAGAAATCCTTCCCTGTGAGGGCTGTGAGGCCCTGGCACAGGTTGCCCAGAGAACCTGTGGCTGCCCCATCCCTGGAAGTGTCCAAGGCCAGGTTGGACGGGGCTTGGAGCAACCTGGGCTAGTGGAAGGTGTCCCTGCCCATGGCAGGGGGTGGAACTGGATGGTCTTTTAAGTCCCTTCCAATCCAAACCATGATTTTATGCTCCTGGCAATGAATTCTGTCCACTCTAAGGTGGTTTTTTTTCTGTGTTAATAATACCCTCTTCCCTCTCAAAGTGAAGAACTGTAGAGGATACCTTGGAAAAATCAAAGCAGTCTTGGCGGTGCTGCAAAAACTCTGATTTATCAGCAAGCAGCAGGGAGCTGTAATCAGATAAACTCTGTAGTTATAGGTTTGATTTCAAATGCCACCTCCTGCCCTAATGCCAACCCCAAAGGGCATGTGAGGTGGGAGCCTTTTACAGGGAAAACTGCAAAGCAGCACATCAAAAGCCAGTTGATGGGCCTGTGATAACAGAGGACTCCCAAAAGGCTGCCAACACCTCATAGGAAATTTTTAAATACATTGTTCAAAAACAGTTCTGCCCGTGTATCACATTTCTGATTAAAAAGAATCCCTTTGTTCTCCTGCTTTAGGGAATATTTGCATGAAGCCTGGCTCCTGGCTGCTCGTGTTGTGGGAGTGTGGCATGAAACCCTCGCTGGGGGTTGTGTTTTTCACAGGGATCAGTCCTGGCACTACAGGAGACTCTGGATGTGCTACTGCTGGAGGCAGACCAAGGAAGAAATCCAGTGCAATTAAATTACAAATCAGGAATTATTTTTTATTTCTTCTTTTTTTTTTTTTTTCCCTGACATCCACAATTACCTGATTCTTGTGTTTGTTAAATATTCAAATATTCCTTAAGCTGGTGCATAGGTGGGTGAAATTGGAATGCCAGCACTGGAATGCCCAGTTACATATATGGTGATTGTTTTTTCTTCAGGAACTGGGGTGATAGGACAAGGAAGAATGGGTTCCAACTGAAAGAGGGGAAATTTAGGTTAGATATAAGGAATAAATTCTTCCCTGTGAGGGTGGGGAGGCCCTGGCACAGTTTGTCCAGAGAAGCTGTGGCTGCCCCTGGATCCCTGGAAGTGTCCAAGGCCAGGTTGGACGGGGCTTGGAGCAACCTGGGCTAGTGGAAGGTGTCCCTGCTCATGGCAGGGAGTGGGGCTGGATGATCTTTATGGTCCCTTCCAACCCAAGCCATTCCCTAATTCTATGATTCTATAAGCAAGACTTTAAAAACAATCATTTGCTTCTATTTAGTTTTATAATTGAACCAAAGTAATTTTTCCAAACTCATCAGACCTTGTCTGTGGCTTTTACAACACCCTCTCCAGGTCCCCAGAGCCCAGATGTCCATGTTGGTTTCCCTTCCTTCCTCTCTCCCCTTCCTTGGAGCTTCAGTTCCTTCCACACAGAAAATCAACACTTCCTGGCTTTCGTTCTTTGAAACATTCTGCAAGTGTTTAATCCTGAAAATATCTGGGGCTAGGACAGATTAATGCTTGGAAAGCACAGGAATGCTGGGTGGTGCTGCTTAGATGTCAAACTTTATCAGGAAGTGCTGACACCTGTATTTGTTCAAAAATCACAAGCCAAGCACATGACAGTGATTTTTTTTTTTAAAGAATAAATGCAGAATTACTCTGATTTATCTCTGTTATTATTTTTTGGGAATTCCCTTCTCATGCTTTCACAACACTAAATACTAGAGGTGGTTTCTCTTTCTGAGAAAATACTTTACCAAAGAGAAAATGGTGTTTTCACACATGGAGCTTGGCTTTGGAGTGAAAATATGGGAATATCCTGAAAATGCTGGTACTGTCACCACAGCTGGCAGCACTGTCTGTGAACCCAGGTAGTGACAAATGTTGCTGGAGTTTATATTGCAACTTAAAATGTCAAACTCACCAGACCCCTCACAAGCCCTGGGGAGCCTGGAGCTGCCACCAGCTGGTCTCTGCCTCTTGTATGCACTTGCTTCGTGCCAAAGCTTCATTCTCAGTCCAAGTTCTGATGGCATAAAGATCCTTTATTCCCTTTTTTGTTATCTATTTTCCATATCACTCATGTGTAGTTCCCCCAAAACAGGAGGGATAATTTTCTGTGTGAGAATATCAGGATTTCAGAATATCAGGGAGGTTATTCTGCCCCTCTGCTCTGGTTAGACCCCCCTGCAGAGCTGCCTCCAGCCCTGGGGAACAGCACAGGAAGGGCTGTTGGAGCTGTTGGAGAGAGTCCAGAGGAGGCACCAACATGATCAGAGGGATGGAGCAGCTCTGCTGGGAGGAAAGGGGAGAGAGTTGGGATTGTCCAGCCTGGAGAAGAGAAGCTTTGGGGTGACCTAAGTGTGGCCTTGCAGGACCTGAGGGAGCAACAGGAGAGAGACTCTTTCCAAGGGCCTGGAGTGACAGGACAAGGGGCAATGGCTTCAAACTGACAGAGGACAGGGTTAGATGGGATAGTGGGAAGAAATTTTTCTCTGTGAGGGTGGGGAGGCCCTGGCACAGGTTGCCCAGAGAAGCTGTGGCTGCCCCTGGATCCCTGGAAGTGTCCAAGGCCAGGTTGGATGGGGCTTGGAGCAACCTGGGCTAGTGGAAGGTGTCCCTGCCCATGGCAGGGAGTGGAATGAGATGAGCTTTAAGGTCCTTTCCAGCCCAGACCAATCTGTGATTCTGTGATTCTATCACTTAACCCCACAGAAGTAGTTTCACCCCACTTGCAGCCTATTTTGGGGTCTCTCAGATTTTGAAGTTAATCTGCTGTGTTCTATACAGAAGAGCAATATTCCTTCACAGGTGGCAGAACTGAAGCAGAGACTTCTTTATCTTACACTTCAAATTTTGTGACAAGGCTAAGGGCTGGTTTGAGTTATTTGCTGGTTGGTTTGGATTTTTTTACTGGAGTCTGGTACTTTATCTGTGGAAAACCATTTTCCTCTTCCTAATGGCTGACCTGTTGTTCTCCTCATCTTAGGAAAGAGCAGACACCCGTGTTGATGACGGGCTGACTCATTTCAAAGCTTTTCTGTGACAAATGTGATTAATTACTGACAGGCAGGAGATGGGATTGCGTCCTTCAGACAGGGAGAGGGGCCTGGGACACAGAGAACCTGCAGTGAAAGCTGCTCTAGGAAAGGATGCTGAGGCTGAATTTTATCCTTTGTTGTTTTCATGTCTGAGAGATGAGGAATCAGTGGAAGGAGAAGTGGAGGCACTGACATAAAATGTGTGTGTTGCTGGAATGAGGTAAGGATTTTTAGGATCATACGTGATCCCTGCTATGCTGAAGAACCCACAGTGATGATATTTACTTGCTTCTTACACTGTAATACAACTATAACTAATAACTCTTTCCTTTCTTCTCCCTCTAGAGAGTCACTCTCTAGCCCGGGTCAGTCCAAGAACACTGAAAAAGCCGTGGTTGAGTGACAAACACCAGCACCAGGGGCAGGAGAGACTTTGATGCTGTTCAGCATTGGCTGCAGCAGCAAGGAGACTCCAATCCCATCCAATTGTGCTTTGATCCTGTTTTCTCTGAGGGAATCACAGCTTTGCTTTTGCTAAAGACAGGAAACACAACAGTTGGCACTGGAGGAGGGATTGTAGCTCTCCGTAGAGATTCCACCCCCAGAGTGATGAAGTGAGCTCGGAGATGGGAGGGCAGAGGTGACACTTCCCCCAAAGGGACACAGTGTAAGAATCAATTGTTTTCATCTAAAGGCATAATCCAAATAAGCCTCAGTGTTGCAGTCCCACAGACAAAATGGCCAGTGTGGTTCCACAGCTGAGGGAGAGCAGGCTGAGAATTACAGCCTGTGTTTGCACAGAGGTGAACTGCCCTACTCATCCCTCATTTAAGTGAGTGTTCTTGCCTTTCAGGTGTTAGGAAACAGATCCTAAAATGATGCAAAGTGGGCCAAGTCTGCTGCATTCAGCCAAACGACTCTTATTTACCCCAGCTAAGAAAGAGCAGGATTTTCCAGCTGAGAAAGGGTTTGTTGGAGGAGGGATTGTAAAGGAGGCTCTGCTGGTTGGGTGGGCACGTGTCTGGAAGTGCTGGAGTACGTGCAAGGCTTTTCTCTGCCTACAAAACAGAAACCTGCAGGCGTCACTTCACGGGGGATTTGAAAGTCGGGCTCACAGTAATTCATTTTCCTCTGCTTGAGTAACCAGCTTCAGTGCACAGTCCTGCCAGCTTAGCCTTGTACAATTGAAACTATTCCCCAGAGACCTAAGCTGTCTGGAAATATTCTTGAATACAGGATATTGAAGTGCAGTTAAGCAAGAATATCAACAAGGAGCTGTTGCCATTGGGCTCTGGTCCAAAAAGCAAAGTCTCTGCAGCGTTGCCTTTGCACACCCTGGCAGAGGCAGGTGGGACAGGCAAGATCATGTGAAATATTAACAGGTGAGGGAATGAAATGTTAGTCCTGACCATGTTCTTGCATATTGATATCATAGCCAAACATGGAGCTTTTTGGGGAAGGATGGAGGTCAAGACCCTCTAGAGGAGATGGAAAATAGATATATTGGGGTCAATACCAAGCCAAACCTCACTTATCTCTTAACAGGAAAATTCAAGTTCGAGGTGCTGTAACTTCCCTGACATGTAGAGGTTGGGGTGACCAGTTCTTTGTAGGGACAAATGAGTGGCAGATTTGTCGAATGAACTGCACTGAGTTTCAAGAGGAGCTGATTCCTGCCTGTCACAAGGAAGCATCAATGACATTGGTTTTCTCTTGGGACTAGCTGGGATGCTTCTGGCTGGCAAAGAAGTTTCAGTAAGCTGCAATTAAGGTCAGGATACCTAATAAGCCTCTTTT